GGCACTCTAAAAGCCCAATTTTGTTGAAAAACCTTCTTAGGAAGTTGATCCTTGAAGAGGATAGTTAGGTCTCTTCCAGGATCTTAGTTGATGCGATATGTGGGCCAAATCAAGGCATACATGTATAACAGTGACTAAATTAGAGTAAGGTACAAAATCGAGGACTAGAATCCCTATGATGGCATCCTTGCAATGGAAACCTTAGACTCCTTGGATCATAGCTCCTCAAGGGCGTCTTTGATGGGAACTTGGGCGGAAATGGAGAGTGTGGGTGAAGTGTTTGATGAAAGGTTTGAGAGGGGTACCCTAGGTTTGGCTCACTCCATGGGTGATGAAGGCAACTTCTAGGGTTTACTCTCAAGGGAAGGAGATAGCAATGGTGGTGGCAGAATTTAGCCAAGGGAGAATAAGGATGATATAAAGGCACAAAGGCTCTCTCTATATTCAACATCCAAAGTGATTACATGAAGCAATACCTAGGGTATTTATAAGTGTGGGCTGACATCACAAAACCTTAGGGAGGGTGGCAACTAGGTCATCATTGGATGATCATTCCTTCCCTAAATGGGAAGGACATGCATACAAATGAACCCCAGTAGGTGCCACCCCTTTCACCCTAAAAATGGGATCTTTTTGGTTTAAGCTAGGCTACATCTAGGTGCATGATAGGAGAATGCAACCTAGGGGCCCTTCCACTTGGGCCATTGCTCTTCTTAGCCCAAAAGACCCATTTTTGTCACACCCAAACACTCACATCACCTAGGAAATAAAGTCCTAAATTCTAAGTGCCCCAAAATACAAGGGCAAAATAGAAAATTCAAAGAAAATAAATGCTAAGTCCTAAACACCCCAAAATACAAGGGTAAAATTGGAAAATAAAATAAACCCTATGCTAATGAGGCTTAGGAGAGTATTTAGTACTCTAAGATCATGAGGAATGTGTTCCTTGGTGTGTGAGCTCCCTCCTCCTCTTCCACTCTCCTAGCCATGGACCTAGTGATGAGGCCCACATGTCTCTTCAAGGATGGTCCTCCATCACCCTAACTAAGTATTAGAAGGGCGTAGTATTTGGAGGGTAGTCAACGAGTTAATCCCGTAGGTGGCTTAGTTATATTGGCTAATGTTGTGGTAGGTTCACACCCAAGTCATTCTACGCTAATAAGAATACTAGACTTCCTAGTTTAAGTGGAAACATCTGAGAAACCATGTTGATAGGGATTGATATCCCAATTGGCTATTGATCTTTCTGGATTGAAAAGATCAGGTTGTTAATTCGGTAGGGTCAAGTCACTTAGACTACTCACATGTGTTGTAGGAGATATCATTAATTGAAAAGTTTAACGATGCATATAGTTGTTGTGTTGTGCATATGGTGTGTAGATTGAGTTGTGTTGTTCATATGAGATATTGACTTGTGATGATTGTGTTGTTGTGTTGTATGATGCATATGCTATGTTGAAAATGTTGATTTGAGTTGAATGATAATTTGAGCATAAAATGGTGTTGGTATTATGGATAAAAAATTTATACTAGAAAGGGGGTTAAATAGTGTATATCAAAAAATCGCACGTTCTCAAGTTTGTGAAGTAGTATCTACAATAAACAAAGGGTCAATAAGAGTAATCAATAAAATACAGTGATTTTATATTGGTTCACCGAGACTATATCTAGTTCTCAATCCAACTAAATTGAGTTCCACTAACTTTCAACAAAGTTACAAGTATTCTTTTACTAAGCCACTTTTGGATATAAAAAAATGTTCTTTGATTGGTCTCTTCAAGCAACTAACTAAGTATTCTTTCACAGACAAGCCTCACCAGGCTCAAACCCACATATTCTTTTATAGACAAGCCTCTCCAAGCTCAAACCCAAGCATTTTTTACGTCAAATCTCTCTAGGTTCTACCTTATAATAGTGGTTATGAAGGTATTACAAGATTGCAATTATCGTCTCTTTTAGATGTGATTACAACAATTCGTTTTAGTATAAGAAAGCTCTTTAGTACAAATGGTTTTTCTATATTTACACTTCTATTCTCTATATGTGCTTCTCTTCTTTTTCTTATGTTCTAGAGTTTCTTATATAGTAACTTTGAAAAAGATGACCCTTACAGCTTCTTGAGTCTGACTCATAGAACTGTTTTGTCTTACTCCTTTATCTAATCTTTAGATAGAGGAATGTGTTGATTTTGGATGAGATTTAACAACATATTTTGTGTGTCATTATAGTCTATACCCACACTTTTTAATAATATACCAACATATATTGTAGTTATTGTGTGGGTAAAAGTAATTTTTTGTAACATATATAGTGTCACTATAGGTGTGTGTCACTATATGGAAATTTCGTTGTAGTGATTAAATGTTTCAATTAATGTCTTTCACCTAAACGTACTCCTTATTTTTGATAGATCAAGTTACTTATTAGAGCAGAGTAGCAAAGTGGGAACAACAAGAAGCAAAGTCACCGTGCAGGCAAGAACACAGTCCTTTTTTAGCATCTTTTTCATGAAATTTGGGATCTTTGTCCTTCGTTCTACTACTCCTCATACTTTTATACACTTTTAACAGAATGTGAGTTCTAAGACAATAAATTTGTATCTGTTAAGTTATAAAGCATTCATTTGAACATTTTAGTTCGTTATTCACAATAAATAATGATCATTAGAACCAATTTGTATGCTTTGTCTGATTAGCTTTGTCTTACAAACGCTACTTCGTCTTACTCAATTTGAATCAATCACTTTTACAGCGCATTTTCTTACTAAAAAATATAGTGTTTGTTATCATTAAAACTTATAAAACCATGAGGGATATAAATTGTCATTTGACTTAACAAATATGATAATAGTTCATATTCTATGTTGTATATACTCATTCTTTGAACTATAGTTCACCCTTATCTATTTTCCATGTGGTTGGACTGTGGTGATAGAGTAGAGTTAGGCTTGAGGAGATGTGTTTTTTATGTCTTTTGAGTGGATGGTAATATAGACGTTGTTTTGGTGCTACTTTCATGTAGTTGGATTGTAGACATTGCTTAAACGGTAGTTGGAATATTATACTTAGTATTGGATAATTGTGTGTGGGTCTATATATATGTGTGTGTGTGAGTGTGTGTATTCCTACTTTTATGATTTCTAGTTGTTGTCAAATATTTTAGAGGATTATATGTATATATCTTGCATGCTTATCCAAGTACTTAATGTATGATAAAATGTAAGGTATTGATAGTTGTTCCGTTGTTAGTTGTTGAACCATTAAGAATAAGGATTATGGTGGGTTGTTACAATATATATCAAGAGTAAGTTAATCCTCTTGGAGTAAGTTCTTTCTCACTCATATATAATTTAGACTTTAAATTTTAAATGAGTTCAATTTAATAGTGTTATTTGATTATAATATATCATATCTTAACATACCCTATCTCATTTATGCATTGTTATATATGAATAATTAAAATAAATTTTTGTATGATTTGACAGAGTTGTGATTGAAAATATCATTTAATCTATGTAAAGATCGACTTGAATTCTTTATATTACAAAAAATAATTGTGAAAAGAATTCTATAAAATTTGTAGTATATAAATTAATTTTAACTACGAAAAAATTAATTCATTTTACCATTTTGTTTTCTTTCTTATATATGTACTTATTGAAACGTTTAAATAATATCATTTAGTAGTAAAATAAAATAAAACCAAGAGTTTATAAAAAGAACATATATAT